ATGAAATGTATATCAGGTGATACATGTTTTACAACAGTTAATGCAACTAATAATAAAGAAACCCGGACTTTGGACCGCATAGGTGATTTGGATGCTGGAATATATCTTGTATGTGTCTATGATAATGAGTGGTACATTGGAATTGTACAAAAAATTGTAGATGATTCAGATATTTTTATAAAATTTATGCAACAAAATGGAGTAAACTTTAAATAGCCCAGACGAGAAGACAAATGCTGGGTTGTAAATGTTTTAGCAAAAGTAAATACTCTGGTTGCACAATGTCAATCAGCAAGAAGCTATCAAATTTCTGAGCAAGAATTTGAAGAAATATCACTAAATTTTGAAATAATTAACAAAAATATTTAGACTATTATTTTGAGAACAAGATTTATTATTTTACTTTTTACGTTCTTTTATTGTAATTAAGATTAATTTCTTGGCTTTTTTTGAGTTTCAAATTTATACATATATAGGAGAAATATAAGCCTTTATATACGAATATCTTTATTTTAAAATGCACTTTTAAATTCCTTGTTTAAAAAAGAATAAATAAACAAATTTTTACATTAAAATGTTCATCGGTTTTTAAAAGATATTGACTATATAACAAATTCAAAATGGCTGATTTTGAATTCCAGAATCCTATCATGACAGAAAGTTGGAACACCCCAATTCAAATGATTTTCTCTAACAATGAGTTTAATTTTTTTAAATTAGTCTAATTATGTTGTATTTTATTAAAAAATAGTATTAAAAAAAAAAAATCCTACAATTTGCCTCATTTATTCAACATTTAACTTGTTTTCGTGTATTATTTTAAAAAAAGATTTCTCAGGAAGTAAATAACCTTTTTTAATGCCCTTTGGTATTTCAGCTAATAATATGTTTACTCAGGTATCCTAGCAGTTTTATCTATTTAACTGGAATATTTTAAAAGTTATAGGCATTGCTATTATGGTTCCTTCTTTTACCGTGAAGGCCTCACTGTTTGATGACAAAAACACAAACTTAAAAAAGCAAAAATAAATATTCTGCTACCAGTCCTCTTCCAATGTATTTTAAACAAACTGGGAAAATTTCAAAGAAAAAGAATAAGCTTATCAGGAGATATCTTTTTTTGCTGAAAATTCGCTGAAAAGCTAATGTGAAAAAAATCACAAAACAAAACAAAAAAATTTATTTAAAAAGTTCCAGATTCATAAAATCGAACAGGTTCTTCTTCTTTCTTAATTCCTCACAACTTTTGCCTTCTAACTATGCATTTATTGGTGGATTTATGATTTCCTTTTAATATGGGTAATGCATCGTGTTATTTAGAAGCATCATTCATAAACCGCCCAGTATTAATGCCTAAAACTTTAAACACTTTTATAACTCCTTGAAAACCATCATTGAACGAAATAATAGCTGAATTTAAAGATAGTTTTAAAGACCTTTTACCAAAATATATATCTTTTGGGCATCTTTTCCAAATAACACCATTTAAGCTTTCATTATTATTCTGTGTTTGACCGTAAAGACACTTTTTTTGCAAATCTTGATTAGGTAGATCTTTAAATATAGGAATTAAAACTTTGTGAATAGCTAATGGTAGGCTCAACTCTTTTTGGCATTTAATTAAGTTAGTTAGTATATCAGACTGCCATAAACACCAGCTTATTTTTGACCCTAGACAAAATGGCAGAAATTTTTATAGTCAATGTCAGAGTTATGAAAACGCACAGCCCATACCGATTTCTGCATATTGTAAAGATTGTCAACATTTTGTCGTTTGGCATCCCATAATAGTTTTAAAATAAATTTATCGCTTTGTCTGTGATTTTACCTTTGCCACTTAGACTAATTTGACCAAGTGTAATATCAATTAAACTTTTTGCCTTTTTGACTTTGACGAAAGACAAATTCCCATTCGTTTTTGAATGTGACCAACACATTCTAACTTCTCAATATTTATATCGCCATAAGTTTTGAGGAAACAACATAAGAAAATGAAGAGGTATCACCATCCTGATATATTAAGTGCACCTTAACTTAATCTTCATTAACGATCAAGAAAATAATATCACCGCCCCACAGGATTCCATCGCTCCAGATGATTTTTCATGAATAGCATCACATACATGGTTTAACTTCCAATGAAAATATCCAGGCTTAAGTATTTTAGTTTTCCAGTAAAAACAACCTTTGCATTTTTTTTGAAAGAACAATGGCATCTAAGCACTTTCCATTCTCTTTTGAAATTATGGTTACAATACCATTTAGTGATTGATGCCCACGTTTTTGCCAGGTACCATCAACAGATACCTGGCAATTTATAGGTTCATTATGATCAACACATAGAGCCATTCTGGTCTGGCATGCAGCTCTAGTAGTACTTTGAATAGCAACAGTCTGATATGCTTGGTGTAATTTGTTAGTCAAGTAGTTAAAGTTTTTTGGGGTCATAGGAGATAACATATTCATGAATGCTGCAAAAGTACCAAAGATTGATAACCTTTGCCAAGTTCTCTAAAAGCTACAATGGCATTAAAATTTACAGCTACAATAGGTTTTCCAGGAGATGTTAAGACTTGTTTATAACTTTGAAGAGATGTATTATATTTTGAAATAAATTCACATGCAGGCTTTCACAAGAAGACGTGCGATTTCACGTCTTTAAATGACCACGCAAGTTACATTTTGCTATGACGGTTTGACCGCGGCTAATTCAAAAAACATTTTAAAAACGCGCTAAATAAAAAATATTCTAAAAAAGTGAAATTAATTACATCAAAACATCTTAACAAATGTTTTTGCTTTATCTAAGTATTTTTTTTTATTTTCTCTTTCATTAATATTTAATATTTTTTAAAATTTTCAGGTGAGTTTAGGTAAGTTTTTGTAGCTCGTTTTTAAATTTTAAAAATATGCCGTGGTCATGACATGTATCACATGATAAATGTAACTCATACGAGAAGCCATTTTTATTTTGTAAACTGTTCTTTAGTAACAGCTTTCCACCATTCAAATAACACTTTTTACATTTACAATCTTTGAACATTGTTTTTAAAACTTTAAAATTTATTATAATATTATAGTTATCCTCATCAAGCTCATTTTCTACATCGTTAAACTCAACATTATGTTACAACTTTTTTTCATTTGCACTTCCTTTTTTGTTTTCAACAAATTTTATGTAGTCAACCTTTTATTAAACTTTCATGTCGCAGAAAGAGTTTAGAGTTTAAGAGAGAGTTAGAGAGTTATTGTTTTAAACAAAAAGTCAACTATTAGTGCAAAACAACACAGAAAAGCCATAAGAGCTATTAAAAAAGGACTAATCAAAAAGCTATTCTGCAGGAGCTTTTTAACAATAGTTTACTTTTGAAATGATTTTTACAACACTTTGATTTTTTCTTCTTTTTTCCTCACTTAAAACGTAACTCTTCCAAAAATTTATCAATTTGCTTGAAGATTTCAGGAAATGTATCTAATAAAATTTTTTAAAGGATGAGCAAAGTCGTTTTTTTTTTTTTGTGTATTTAAATGACTGTTTTACTAATAAGTAAAAAAAAAATCGAAAAAAAAAAAAGAACTTTTCAACAAAATATTCACAAAAACGAAACAAAAATGAGTTTTAGCTTTGTTAATATCATTTTTTTTTGCTCACTCTTTAGTACAGTATAGAGAACATTTGTTAAATTTGATTCAAAATGAACTAGTGTTTCTTGAGTTATTAGATTTGAGGTTTACTATGATTTTTCATTCAAATGCATTTGTTTTTGTTTATGTTATGCATAAAAAATTTAACGAATTTTTTTTGTTTTGTTATGCATAAAAAATTTAACGAAATTTTAAAAAAAATTTATTAATTTTTATTAGTTGATGCAAATAATAGTTTATTTATAAATAAAATCAATAAAGTTATTTTTGTTAAAAAAAAAACTTTTTGGTAATTTTTTTTGTTAATTGTTTATATATAAAATCTCCACAATAACGTTTCATAATTAATTTCAAGTGTTTACATTATTTTCTTGGCCTGCACAGTGGATACAGTTTATCATATTTTTTTAAACTTGTGATATTTTAACAGGCTACTGCAAGTGTTAAATAACTTTTAATGCATAATTTTGATTTATACCATAAATAGTTATTTTGTTACAATTGTGTTACTTTTGTAGTACACAAAAATAACGCAATTTTTCCCCCTAAAATTGCATAATATAGCTACTGAACGGATTGGTCAATTAAGCTGAAATTCTTAGGATTACTCTTTTTTTCATAAAGTCTGTGGTAGTACCTGGGACCATATCATATTACATATGGAATGACAAAAATATAACATTTCAGTAATTTATGTACATACCAACAACAGCAAGTCAAGTTCACTAATTTTACTCAGAGATTTTAACTATAACACTCCTATAACCTTTCTCCAACACTTGAAACTGGACAGATTGAAAATTGAGTTTTTATCAGTAATTTAGTAGTAAAATGTTCTCCTGTACAGAATCAAACTTAATTCACTTGTTTATATCACTTTGTTACCTTGTATTCTTCATCTGATAAAATCAAATTTGGAGGTTTAAACTCACTTTTTATTAAGAGAATAGCTAATTATTCAAACCTAAACTCATAATAGTATTGCAACTTTGTTAATGATTTCAAAATTTACTCATAATTTAAATCAAGAAAAATTATTATCATTTAAAAAAATACTCAAATAAGCAAAATTTATTCAGCTAAGTTTCATTCAAAATCATTTTTTTATCTTTGCAAGTCTTCTAGTTTGCCAAGGCCACGTTTTGAAGTTTTAGAGTCAACAAAGGGTTTTAACTACACGGACTGGTGATTCAGAGACTTTCTATTCTTAAATTACTTGCCATAATAAAAAATTAAAATTAAAGAAAACTTAATGAGAGGAAAATTCTCTTTAATATATAAACTTTGGTAAACCTGTGTCTGTATTTGAAATCTAATGGCAATCATGACAAATTTATGCAATAATCATATATTACCTTAGATGGGTTATAATCTGTTTTTTGTAACTTCTTTTGAATTCTAAAAATGAGTGATACTAATTCATCATGATTCATGATTTGTTTACTTTTAACAAACAGCTACATTTCTTTTTCGTTAAATTAAAGTAGCCATTATACGAAATCAAAACAACTTTAAGTCATTACGTTAAAGATCTTAACGTAAGCAAACATTTTATATTTGGCACGATGGAAATTTGGTTACAAGATTTGTTGAATTTAAGGCCGGCGCGAAGGTGATCCCCCTCTCCCCTAGTCAACGACCTTTTTGTTCATTTAGTAGACAAACTTGACCCTTTTAGACAAGTCATTCGGCAAATGTAGACCCTTTAGACAATTCAGTCGGAAAATTTAGGCAGCTAGTCGGTAAATGTCGACTAGGGTTTTTTTTTAGTCGGCAAAATGTGTTGGCACCCCCTCCCTTACCCACGAACACCTCGGCTGCCCTGGTTGAATTGAATAAACATTTAAAAAAAAAAAATTAATTGTATTTTTTTAATTGCATTTTTATTTTTTAATTGCTTAACTTTATATTACATACAATACACAATGTATTATATACAGGATATACAACTTCATTTAAAATTTTTTAAATCCTCAAATAAACGAGGGGGGGGGGAGGAATCTCAAACTTTTTATGGTAATAATATTTAAACGCTTAAAGATACAAGGGAACATCCATAAAGTTCGTACGCAGTAAAACCACTGATTTAGAACAATTTCTTTCACCTCTGTACGCACCTTAATGCTTTTAACAACCTTTCTTCTCTGTGCACTTACGTATTACTTGTTACAAAATTAACCTCCCCCTTTTCCAAATTCAGAAAAAATTCAAAACGTTAAAAACAAAAAAACCTTTAGTTATTTCGACATTTCTCTTTCACATAACAGAATATTAATTTTTAAGCTCGTGAAATATACTTAAAATATATAATACATACTTAAAATATGTTAAATATCATATCGCGAGGTTAGAATTATTTTGTTCTATCTCCACTTTTTGAAAAAATTGAGTTATTAATTGTGTCATGTACCTCAAAATAATGTTTTTCTACTATATTCAAACCTAAGTTAAAAGTTTCGGAGAAAACTTAAGTAATATAAATCATTTTATATGCCGTCTCCTAAAGTTTTTTTTAAATCGTAAAAAAAAAAAATGTGGAGATAAAACAAAATAATTCTAACCTCGCGTTATGTCAAATAAAGATGCTTTGTAAAAAATTATGCATATATAAATGCTGCATTAGACGCACGCCGATAACATATAAGTACATAGAAACATAGCTTTAACAATCAGGCTCTATTAGAGGGGAAGCCACATGTCCCATATGTTAGGGCCTCACATTTTCAAAATACATTTTTTAAACACCAAAATAAACATCAAAATAATAATTCTAAATTTTTAATTACTCTAAATAATTTAACTTAAAGTTGACTTAATTTAAAAGTTGAAATAATTGAAGTTAATGTGTTAGACTTTATTTGACTCAAATTATTAAATTAACTTCGTTTTCATAATTGCAAATTTCCGAACCTTTATATATCCGACATTTCCGAACCTTTATATATCGGAACCTTTATTTAATCCGACTTTATAAATATTACGTCATTTAATGACGTAATATTTATAATGACGAATAAACCTCCATCGGGCACGGTTTAACAAATTGATACAAGTCAATCAATTTTATCTCTTACGAGTTTTTGAGTTATGACTTAGTGTTCTGCGTTTTAGTAGCTTCATTTTTTTCTTTCTTTTTTAATTGTACTTCATCACACAGAATTAATTCACTTTATTTGGAACTGTTTTTTTATCATTTTGTTCAAACTGATACATTGCACCTTTGTACGTTACGTTATGTACGAATAACCTCTGTACGTTACATTTTGTAACTTTGAGAATAATAATTTTTTTTTCTGGTAAATGATTTTTTAATTTTTTTAACATAACTCAATATATAAATTTGTATAAGTTTGACTGATGTGTAATTTTATTAAGTTTTTAAATTTTAATATTACTTTCAGATACAATTAAAACGAAGAGAAAACTTGATAGTGGTGCAAGTAGAAGGGGAGGGAGAAAAGAGTTGGCTGAAGAAGCATATACCAACTCGAAGAAAATATATTCGTTTTTAAAAAAATCACAAAATACAGTTCAAATTAACCCAGCAAACTAATCTTAAAGTGTGAGTGCCAATAGTAACATTGAAAATGAAGTTGTTCCAATTGCTGTAGGCCCAATTTAGGAACAACAACCTGCAGGAAATTTGAATATTGTAAATCAGGAACAGGATGAACCCGAAATCTCATTACAGGAAGATACAAGTGCAAATCAAATTCGAGATATGGAACCAGAGGCAATAAATCAGACTCGTCAAGATAATCCGGTCAATTTTATTGACATTGGGATTATCAACAAGAACAATTCTATTCAAATGAACTCTTTTCTTAAGATTACTTGCGTTAAAATTCCAGATAATATTGTTCAAGACTCAAATCTTCATGCATTTTTCTATTCTTTTGTAAATAAAACTCTTGCAAATTGAGAAACATGCAAAAGAGACTGGTTGTGCTGGAGTAATGAAAAACAATCTTCGTATTATACATCTTGTTTTCTTTTGAACAAAAACTTCAAAAGTAAACAAGGCTGGAAAGTATAACGGTGTGCAAACTGTATATTTTTTAGCTGTGGAAATCACACATTAAATTTAGATGGTGTCGATTGCGCTAAATCATGCAAAGAAGCAGTAACGTATTGCGAAACAATTCAGCAAATGTACAATTTATTCAGTAACAGTCCTCAAAGTGGGAAATTCACAAATCTTCCTGTTTCTTTGCATGGAATGCCCAAAACAAGATGGTCAGCACGGATTGATGGTGTTAAACCAGTTGCACAACATTTGAATTTTGTAAGAAGTGCTTAAAATGAACTTAGGGTGCTATATTTAACACCCCAGGCTGGAACTCAAGGCTATTCAAAAGTATATTTCCGAATTTTGAATGCATTTTGATGTCGTCTATCTGGATGAAACTACTCACAATGATTCATCATGCAAGTCTAATAATTGAGGCCCGCTATGCTACTCTTGATGCTGAAAAGAATGACATTGAAAACCTATCAAATGACATTTAAAGGTTGCGTGAACAATTTGATAAGATTTTAACCGAGTCAAAATTTGTTGCAAGAAATAATGGTGTTTCATGTGAGTTTTTAATTAATCGTCGTTTGCCAAGTCAAGATGATGCGACCTGTATTTTAAAATCAATGTATACTTTGTCATCATAGGCTCGATTCAATCTGGCCTCACGCGAAAATTTCAGTCGTTACAAGAAATTTGTAAACCTTTTGGATTTCTATGGCATTTTAAATATTTGAATGACGAAGATCTTGTATTTGCTGCTCAACATTTTCAGCACAAATATGACAAAGAAATCTCACAAGAACTTGTAAATGAGGTTTTATTTCTTAAAAGAATCTATGATGTTAATTTTAAACTAGATTGCACACCAAAGAAGTTGCTGGAAGAAATTCAGGTGTCCTTCCAAACATTACAATTGCATTACGCATTTTTATTAGTTTGCTTGCATCGACGACTTCTTGCAAACGCACATTATTGTTTTAAAACAGATAAAAAATTAAAAACCTCGGTGCAAAAACGATGCAACTCCACTTTTTATCAATTTTCAGGTTTTAATAGATTACGAGTATATAAAAGAAGTTCTATCAGTTAGTATAAAAATGACATAGAATAAAGCGCTTCTGGTATAATTAAACACATGATTTGGTAGCAAAATACGTATTCCCTACACATTACATCGTTTTTGCTCCGAGGTCTTCAATTACCATTGTTCAACTATCGGGCAGGAACGGTCGAATAGACTTGCTATGCTGAATATAAATTGTGATATTTCAAGAAAACTGGATTTTTTAAATATAATTGCTACATTTTCAAAACAAAAAACAAAAAGGGCATTTTTGAAAATTAAATAAAGCTAGTTCTTTCTGTTTTATATACAATTGGCGCAATCCTTTAAATTTCATTTCCAAAATGTGACCATAATTTAATTAACCATTTATAGTGATTTCCTATTAATTACCTATTAAAAAAAAACAAGAAATAAAAATCAATCAATAAGTATTTATATACAAGTCATACATTTTTGAAATCTGAATTGCAACATTCACGATAAAGTAACAGTGTAACACTCCACTCGTACGGTCGTACCCTACCAATTCCCAGGCCTCCCTAAGAAATGTGTAATTAGCAGATTAACACATTTCTTTGCTAGTTGGCTCGCTAAAACGCACAAAAAGCGCTACATCTGTGAGTGACGGTCTGTCTAATTAATTTCATTAATTTTAAAAGTTTAAAATTTATGTAATCCCGATCTATCTGAAGACTTAAATGGCTTTACACCAACTTGTGTCGCGTTTCGCGCAAACTTTGCGCAAATCGTCCTCTTGAGGCCTCTTATTTATAACCGGCCCAGGCCTCTCTAAACCTATGAAAGGGCCTGTTAACAATTTTATTATATAAAAAACATTACAAGAAATATTGTAATATAACACATTTAAAGTATTTAAAAGAAAATTTTGTATCATAAACTAAACTAAAAAAAAAAATCAAACTAACAGTTGTAAATAATTCAAAGTTATAAAATGAAACTATGATTGTTTTGGTCATTATACTTGTTAATAATACAAACATACCTAATATGTTATCACTTTAAAGCTTCTAAAAAAATATTTCAAAAATATAAAATTTTAGCGAGTAATAAGTAATATTAGTCCAAAATTGATGCAGGGGGTAATTTTGTCCAATATCGCAGGGGAAAATTTTGCTGATCTTAGTCTCATTTTTTAAGTTTTCCATTAATTAATATAGAAATCAGGGAGAATAGTTGAAATTCTTAAAAAAGTTATTTCACTCCACCTTGTTACATAATGTATATAATAAGGTGGATGTATATAATATACATACATTATGTCAACATACTTTCTACTTTTGGGTTGTTTTTATTAAACTCAATTTATTTTCATCATGACAAAATTATTTTTTTTTAATTTCTCATAAAAATGTATTTGCCTGTAGAGAAGGTATTTCTCACAAGCATGTTTACCATATAAAAAAACTCTTTTGGAAACAAAACTGTGAAAAAAGAGAAAAAATAGTTTTTAAAAAAG